ACCAGTTGTCGTAATTCTGATGCTTTGTTTTTAATGGTGCCCCTCTCTCCTCGAAACAGTAAGTATTCGCTTTCTTGACAAAAAAAAAACTCCGTGATTTTAGTCCGCAAGCGGGCTATACCGACCGAGCGACCGCTAAGTTTATTGCCAACTTTTGTGGATAGGGGGTGTCGTGTGGTCAGCGCAACAAATCCCACGGCTGTTTTTCTTTCGGTTTTCTAGACCGGAGCCGCTATTTCCTTGAAATAGCTCCTCAATTATCATCACCAGGCTGAGTGGACCCCGTTCCAAACCCACTACTTCTCAAAAAAAAATCTGGTAGCGCCGGGGATCGAACCCGGACCTCCGGATCAGCAGCCAGGAACGCTGAAATGACAAATGCATGTAATTTTACTATTTACTACATAGAGCCACTGTCCTCCGGATTCTACTGCTGATGCATTTTGTAAATCTACAGATATTTTTAGAAACTTACGTTTAAATGTAAACTACCTTATTATTTTGTCCTTGTCCTTGCTTATTGCTGTTGCTGTCAGTACAGGCATAGACTCTCTAACTGCTGTGCTCAGCTTGTTAATAAATAAGGAATTAAACTGTATTATTATTATTATTGCTATTACTGCTTTCACTACTGTTACTGCCACAACAACCATAATTATGATAATTATTACTGTTACCCATTACTACTATTATTACTATAACTATAAGAAACTAAATATTGATAAAACTAAAGTTATTACCTTCTCTAGGAAAATAACTACACGTATTTTGATCTACGAGTATAACATTTTTCAGTCTACTATAACCCGGACTGATTCTGTTGAAGGCCTAGAAGTATTTCTGGATTGTAGGCCTTATTTTCATAATCATGTCAATTTTGTATTTTCTCACTGCATTAAGTTGCTAGATCTAGTTCGCAACGTAACCTTCCATTTCTCATCCCTTGAATGCATGTTCATATTGTACTTTACGTTAGTTGGAACTAAGGTTGAATAAGCACCTGCTGTTTGGAATTCTATTACTTCTACGGATGCAAACAAACTGGAACGCATTCCGCACAAGTTTGCGGCTCGTCGATTTAATCGCTTCTTTCCTCAGTTCGATTAAAGTCCGCTCTTGCTTTAGAGAAACTGGAACCGCACACCTTGCAAAAGAGGAGGCATCTCCTTAATATACTCTTCCTTGCTCAAGTTTAACATGGCTCTAAATTCTGCCCTTCTGTTTTGGGTCCCGTTGTTCTTCGAGTTCATTTTTGATAAGTCAGAGGCTCTTCTGCATTCTGTGTCTGTCCTTACGGCAAATAACTAATGCTGTTTGTAGGGACACAGATGCATTTGGAACAACATCACTGTCTGTCAATGTGGAACCAATTAAATCGTTGTCTAAACGGTACACATTGCCTGGGTTCTGTTTTTGCTTGTGAGTGCATGTTTGTTTGTCCTTTTGCTTCTTATTATATCAACACTAGCCTTTAGGCTGTTAATCTGTTAAAAATTAAATTATTATTATTATTGTGTGACTATTGTCTTTATACTGTGTTCGTCCTTAATATAATTACCAGTATCTATATTATACTGTGTCTGTATATGGCCTTGTAGCTGCTGACTCGGCACATAAATAACAAAGACCTGAATTATTATTATTATTATTATTATTATTATTATTATTATTATTATTATTATTATTATTATTATGATCATCAGCTGGTTACTTTATGACACTGTCA